TGGAGTCCTAGCCCTATCCTACCCCCTCACCCAGTGTCCTCAGCCTGGCAACCTCAGGATCACCTACACCTTCACTTCCTGTTCCCTCTCCAGGTCCAGATCCGCTCAAGGCCACCTCAGACACGGCTCTCAGATCCAACCATTGGCTATCCATGTCACAGCCAATACTTGGTCTAAGGCCTTGTCACCTGGGCCACTTGATAGATAACCATTTTTTAAGTTTTACTAAGTACCGCTAATAATAGCAAACACCCAGGCAGTGTTTTCTATGTGCCAAGAACTGTTCTAAGAGACTATTCTCATGGCAATGCTATGAAATAGGATTGTTATCCACGTTTCACAGAGAAGGAAAATGGAGAACAGAGAGGTTAAGTAAGGCGGCCAATGTCACAGAGCAGGTAAGTGGCGGATCTGGGACTTGGATTCTTGTGGTCTGTCTCCAGAGTCTCTGATCTTAAACCACTAAAACATACTGATTCTGTTTTAATTTAACCCATTATTATTTTTATTGTTGTTGCATTTTTTGGAATAGGGAATACAGGTACCTGGTTCAAAATTTAAAAGCTACAGAGGGGCGCCTGGGTGGCTCAGTCGTTAAGCATCTGCCTTCGGCTCAGGTCATGATCCCAGGGTCCTGGGATCGAGCCCTACATTGGGCTCCCTGCTCCGCAGGAAGCCTGCTTCTCCCTCTCCCACTCCCCCTGCTTGTGTTCCCTCTCTTGCTGTCTCTCTCTCTCTGTCAAATAAATAAATAAAATCTTAAAAAAAAAAAAATTTAAAAGCTACAGAAAGCTGCATACTGAAAAGACCCTTTGCCACTCTGGTTCCCCATCACCCAGACCCTGGTTCAGGAGGTAGTCAGCATGACCAGTTTTTTCAGTAGCATCCCAAGCAAATATATATGTCATTTCCCCCTGTTTTCTCCATCCTAGACTGGGTACAATTTGGCAGTATGCCTTTTTCATTGAACATATATTGAAGATCATTCCGTATCGATACATGAAGAGCTTCCTTATTCTTTTTCTTTCTTTCTCTCTCTCTCTCTTTTTTTTAAAGACTGCAGATGGTCTAGGGCTGGGCAAACCTTTTCCTGTAAAGGGCCAGATAGTAAATATTTTAGGCTTTGTGGTCCATATGGTCTCTGTCACATATGCTGCTAGTGTTTTTTTTTAAACCTTTAAAAATGTAAAAACATTCTTGTCTCACGGGTTGAATTAAAATAGTCTGCAGGCCAGATTTGGCCATGGATCATAGTTTGCTGACCCTTGAGCCGAGAGGCTCTTCCCTTGATGCCCTGCATCTAGTCTTCCCTCACTCTGGGCCCTTCTTGAGCATCCTGAAAGCACTATGCTCCTCTCTTCCAAATCTGACACTGACGGTGCTTCCTCTAAACCCTCTGTGGCTCCCCACTCCTGACAGGGTAAAGTCCAGACTGCTTGGTGGAGCCGACAATGCCCTTCACGATCCATGTATTTTTCCATACCTTCAGGTCTACTGCACTGGTCCATGCCACCATCAGCTCTCAACCTCAACTCCTACAGTGACCCCTTTGCCCCGCTATTGGTATGCAACCCTCCTGCCCCAAATTCACTCTCCACATGGCAGCGCAGCCCTAGGGATTTTTTAGAAGAACAGATCATATCTGGGAACCTCCAGTGGCTTGTTGCTACCCTAGAAGGAAGTCAACTTCTTTATCATGGTCTACAAGGTGAGCCAGTTCTGCTTGGCCCTCCTGTCCCACCTCATTGTCACCATCCTCCCTCCCTCTGTTCCCCATCCACCAGCCACACTGACTGTTCTGTTCCTCGAGGAAGCCTAACTCATTTCTGCCTCTATGGGTGCTGTTTCCTTGGCTGCCTCCTTGGAGTTCAGCCTCAGTTCAAATGCCACTTCCTTAGTGAGGCCTCCCCGCAGCTCCCAACCTACAAGGGCCCTCCACAAGTCCTCGCCACACCACCATGCTGAATTTCCTTCTTGGCCCTTGTGGTCATCTATATCTTGGTTTGTATCTGCAAATTCTTTGCTTGGCTGGAACGTGTGGGTGTCTCCAGGGCCCAGCCCGGTGCCTGACACATATTAGATGAACACTTAAAATTTTTCTGATTGAACAGTTGAAGAGTTTCAGCCCCATTTACCTTTCCTAGTGGATCTCTCTTCACTCCTCACCTTCTGCTTCAGTCTCCGGGTCCACTGGCCTTCTCACCCACCACTAAACATGAACTTCCTTCTTAAGGTTTTACACCTTTGCACTTGTCATCTCCTTCTCTGAGCAACGAACTCCTACTCACCCATCAACACCCAGTCAAATGTTACCTCTACCTTTACACTTTCTCTTGTGTCAACTTCTTCCTCTGACAGGCTCCCAGAGCACTTTGCACAGAGCCCCGTGGTCACCCTGGGCTATAATTATTTACTTACCACAAATGTTTGTTTATTTATTATATCCTGAATACCCCCAGACATTATATATATATATACACATATGTATATGAATAAGTATTTTCTTATCTGTTTATGTGTGTGTCCCCATCTATAGCATCTCTATCTATCTATATGTATTACATTTTCATTTTACCTAAACAAGCTCCTTCAGGGAAGGAACACCTTGGCTGGGATTTATACGGTAAGTGTGGGCACAGAATAATATAAATAGCAGCATTTAGCTCTGTGCTAAGTGCTTTCCATACATTTTCTCATGTAACTCTCCTAATAACCCAAAGGAGGGCGGCACCATTATTATCTATAATTTGTCAATGGGGAGCCTGAAGCGAGATTAGGTAACTCGCTCCGGGTGGATCCACCATTCCCCACCAGGCCGTCCGGCGGCCAGCACGCGAGGCTCCTTGGGGTGCCTCCTCTTTGCCCTTGAGGTGGTGCACAAATCTGTCCTGTTTCCCTGTGTGAGACCAGGGGGGCACAGCTCTGCTCAGAGAGGGGTCAGGTGAAGCTCTCTCACTCCCCTGCAGTAAGGTCCTCCCTTGTGGGGGGCACAGATGTCCCTCTGCCAGCCAGATGGAGAGGCACGATGAGGACGCTGCCCTCTGCACACCTGTGACTGTGTCATCCCCAAGGGCAGCCAGATGTCCTTGGGGCCCACCTCCTGTTGCCACATGCTGTTTAGCCATGTGGACATAAGCGGCTCTGCCAGCTTACACTTGAGCTAATGTGATGGGACCACAGGGCTCTGGGCAGAAGGGCGAGAGCCTAGAAGGCAGAGGAGACAGGGCAGAAGGAGCTCCCTTTCTTTATCATTTCCTTTCGTTATTTCTTTTCCAGCTTTACTGATGTGTAATGGACAAATACAAATCATATCTATTTAAGGTGTACAACACGGTCATTTGGTGTATATATATACATACATACATATATATATATATATCCTTATATGTATGTATATATATGAAAAGCACAGCAAAGGAAACCCTCGTCAAAATGAAAGGCAATCCATGGAATGAGAGAAAACATTTGCCAAGCCATATATCTGATAAGGGGTTAATATCCAAACTATATAAGGAACCCCTACAACGCAATAGCAAAATAAAAAAATAACCTGATTAAAATATGGGCAAAAGACCCGAATAGGTATTTTTCCAAAGAAGATATGCAAGTGACCAACAGGTACATGAAAAGGTGCTCAATATCTTTACCCTTTCCTTTAAGTGAAGAGACTTTTCTTGCCTATTCTTTCGGGGAATAAGGGCAACTGGCAAAACTAGCATGTTTTTTTTTTCCCCTAAGAAGTGCAGGCTCCGTTGCAGAGTGTATCCTGGAATAAAGAAGAAGGTCCTGGAATAGATTTGTTGTAGTCTGGCTTCTGTTTGTGGGCACATGTAACTTTTCAGCTCATTGGGAAAATTCTGTCTAGAGAAGTAGGTCACAAACTTTACAGCAGTGCTATTCAAAGTGAGGTCCTTGGACCAGCAGCGGCAGAACCATCTGGGGGCTCGCTAGCTTTGCAGATTCTGGGACCCACTCCAGACCTGACATATCCAATTCTGAATTTTAACATGATCCCCCAGGAGCTTTGTAAGCACATTCGAGTTTGAGAAACATGGACTGAGGGTGCCTGACGAGAATGTGAGTTGGGGCCCTATGCCTTAGCAATCCTGATACACTTGGTAAGGAGGAGATCCAGAAATGTGGCAAGCATCACCTACTTTTGGGTGGTTCTGCTTCCTTTTGTGAGCAGCTGTGGTCCAGAGGCAGTGCTGTGTGCTGAAAATAGTCCAGGCACTGCATTTAGATGGATCGGGGATTGAATCGCAGCTCTGCTACCCACCAGCTAGGTAATCCTGATTAAGCACTTCATCTCGTCACACTTTAGCTTCCTCAACTCTAAAATGGAGAAGGGAAAGGCCTACGCCTTCAGCTGTGAGGTTTAAAGGCAATATATGTAAAGTGCCCAGTACCAAGTCTGTGGCATAGAGCACGTGGAAGGTTAAGTATTACAACTATTAAATCAAACAGTTGTCTACTGGTTGTACCACTGGATGGCAGAATGGGCCACAGTATTGATTAATTTCAATTGCGGAGCCAGGGAAGGCCAAGGGGGGTTAACCAGGGTGTGATGGCTGTAGTTTCTTGGTTACTTACCCTTGATCTTAAAGACACAGAGAAAGGATTAGACTGCAACAGCCATCAAACTTTATCATTTACTAAGAATCACCAGGAAGCGAGTTTAAAATGTTGATATCTGGAAGCTGTTAACCCAAGATTCTGTTTCATCAGGTCTGGAGTATGGCCCAGGGATCTGTATTTTGATCTCGGGGAGATGAAATGGTTGAGGCCACCGATCTCACTCTGAGAAACAGTGGCTTAGAAAATGTGTGAATTCATTCAGTACACAAAGAGCTTGACACACGTGGGGGCCTTTGCTGGTACTGAGCAACAGACACGAAGAGAATTCACTCTCACCCGTGTCTGCCCTGCCCGGGAGCGTGGGTCTCCGAGGAGAAGGGAAGCTGTGTTAGGACATCAAGAACAAGGGGAAAAAGCCATACCTGGGCTTCCGCAGCTTCGATAGTGTGGGAGAGATTTCCATTTTGTACGGGTTCTGAAGCATCACTGGGTGGTGTCATTTCAACCTCCGTGCTGGTGCTGTTTGGGAGCTCGATTTTTTCTGTGGTACAATGTAGATACACACAGAGAAAGCAAATGGAGTCAATGGGGGTAAGAGCCATGTTGGAAGGAACGTCCTAAAATGTTGGGCCAAAGAAGACAGTGGTCTCAGAGGGGTTAAGGCCCAGGGCTGGGGTGGCGCCAAATGGCAAAGGATTTTTAGCATTCTTCCCAATACCTCTCAGCGTTTTCAGTCCTCCTCCTCTCTTTAATAGCTCTCTGGCTCTCTCACTCTGGGCTGATATCTTGAGTCCCCATTCAGCTCCCCTGGCGCACATTCTCTATGCCAGGCAAAGTCACCAAGTAGCCATTCAAGAACATGAACACAAACATTTTTTCACCAAAACCATGCTCAATCTGTACACTAATATTATATCCAGGACCACACCCCTTGGATTTTTTTTTTTTTTACAGCAGGATCTTTTCTTTTATACAACATTCTGGAAAGGATATTTATTGGCTAGGGACCCAGGAGACTTGGGTCCAAGACTTTGCTCTGCCATTATCAGGCTGTCACTTCAGGCAAATCTCCTTTCTGTGGGTTTCAGGAACCTTATCTGTGAAATGAGGGGGTTCAACTGGTTGACCTTAAGGCCCACTGCTTCCAGCCCTAATTCTCTAGGTGCGTTGCGTGCACAAGCCTGCCAATGTCTGGGTGGTGGGGGCAGGCTCTAGAGCCTGGCCTTCTCAAAATGCCTGGAGAATGCTCTTCTGCACATTCTACACCTGGGAATCCTATGGCAAGCAAGGCGAGGGGAAGCTGAACAAGTAACAGAGGGAAACATCTTCATTCCTGAGTGCGAGATAACATCTGCCTAGCATGAAGCCACAGGTCAGCAGGTACAAATTCCAGTTTTCCTCTGGGAGTTAGAAGTGCCTCCACGGTCATGGTGAAGCCCTGGGACTCTCTGACACTGGGCATCCCAGACCAGCCTGGGCTCATACTCTGGTTCTACTGCTTATGCTGTGGGACGCCTAGCAAGTAATTTAACTTCTCTGAGATTTAGCTTCCTCATCTGTGAAAATGGGGTGATGTGCTAATACCACTAACAACGATACAATCAAAGGGTATGCCTGCGAAATAAGAACATGCATATAAAGCACGTGGCACAGAGCTGGGACAGAGCAAACAAGCAAGCAACAAACTATTCTGATCATTATTATAGTCACTGCCTGGCACTAGACGATTTCTTTTGGGGGCTCAGAGAAGCACCTCACGTGATCAGTGATCAGCACCACCAAGGTCTGCCATGACTTCAGTGGGAGCAAAATAGAAAGGTGCTTAGACCTTCTGGCTCTGCTGGGACCCCGCCACTCAGTTTAGGAGTGACCAAGTGAACTGTCTGGTAACTTAGTGGGTGTGGCATGGGCCATGTCCCAATCTTCTTGGATTTCAGGAGACAATGAAGCCATGGGGGTCTGTGTCAGGCCTGCCGAGAGCATCGTCATGCTCCTCGGTCTCAGATACGAGCTGTATCGGGCCACTCATAGAGTGTCAGAATGTTTGTTTCTAGTAACTTCCAAAGGACGACACATTTTTATCACTGGAAAATATTTTGAGAGTTACATAAAAATGATTGGGCTTGAAGTGGCCACATTCTGGAAATCACAGGGAAATGTTTCTGTTTACTCATGTATTTAGTGGTGGGATACAGATGCATAAGTATATTTAAATACAAAAAGCCACAGAAGCTCAAATGTATTTTATCTTTCCATGTTTTTCACAGCGGCAGTGTCATGTATGTGGTGTTCTGCTTTATGTGGCTCTACCAACTATTCCTAATACGCTTGGTCCAGTCATGAAAAATACCAAACACCAAGTACCTGGGGAGATATTAAAACTGGGTTTTGGGGTGTCTACTGGCTGAAGTGAGACAACATTGAGATCAGCCCACGATGGCCAAACCTGACCCTACCAACATGGGATGATCAGGTCCCAAAGTGGAATTAAGATGTTCGAGAACAGAGGTGAACTGATGAGAAGAAACAGCCCCTGCACACAATATTTAACATCTCAGTTTATTCCCCTCAGGTTTTTCTTTTCATAGCCAACAGAATCTTGACTGTTCCTTGGCCAAAGGTTGTCCGCGAGCCAGAAGTCAGGCTAACAGGAGAGGCAGAAACTCTCCTAAGGAGTGTCCCGTATTTTGAGTGCAACACTGCTGCATTTTGTCTGCAGATCATTGCAGTTTCTTGGGCAACGGCATCGTTTGTAGCAGAGATCCAGATTAGGTTAAATTTAGTCTGAATTTAGGATTAGTGGATTATATTATAGTTGCAGACAGGAGAGGAGGAACATCATGTTCCGAGTTAAAATAAGATGTCTGAATGTCACGATCTGGTTCACACGGGAACTCAGAAAAAGTCAGCCCAAAGAGACCTGGGCTGCTATTGCTGAATTCTTGAGAAAGGAGAGGTGGTGTCACCTCGCAAGGACCCCGTCACTCAGTTCAGGAGTGACCAAGTGAACTGTCTGGTAACTTAGTGGGTGTGGCATGGGCCATGTCCCAAGTATAGCATGTCAGTATCTGGTTACCAGGCAAGAATCTCAGAAAGGATACTCTCACATTTTGTTAAACATTAAAAAGACAGGTGTATGTGTGGGTCGTCCTTCTGTAGAATTCCTGAAATGAAATGATTTTCTACTCTTCAAGGGAAATGCCTGGTTAGAAGCTGGTTTTACTTTAGGTTCCTCAGAGAATCATTTTACTCTTCTTGGAGTTCCCCTAGAGTAGGTGACATAGTGTATCCATTTATGCCCTGTGCCCCCCAGGGAAAATGGGCTCTTGCGGAAACCCAGGAACGGGCTGAGCCGCAGGGTTGCGGGTCTGCACCGAGTCAAGGGGCCCACGCTGGGTCCTGCCTCCCCACGCCCCTCCGAGTGCTCCGGGAAAGGCATGGGATGCAAGTTTCTCGCACTCACCCACGTGATTGGCAGCCCCGTTCTGCCTCTCGTTCTCATCCACCTGGCATTTCTTCTTGGCAATCTTATGGAGAATAGAAGCCTTTTCTCTGAACCTCCCTGAAGCAAGAGAAAGCAGTGGAAAAGGAGACACAATGAGGAGGACGATAAAGAGAGGGGCTCTCGGAAAATGCGAGGCACTGGCCCAACAGGCACGTGGCTTGCACAACTTTCTGCTCAACTCAAACACCCTGTGCCCTGCACGAGGGGTACGTTCTTACCTTTGTGGATTCTTTAGCCCAAATCTCTGTTGAGAATCTCAAGCCACCAGACCACAGATGAAAGGTTTGCCTTGGACCTCCTCCCTCCCTCCCGCTTGCTTACAAAATAAAGGAAGGCGCTAGTCATCACTAAACCCCCCTCTCCTGCTGAGATCCAAAACATGTCTAAAGACACGGTGCTGCTCTGGAGACAGCCGTTTCTCTGGAATTAAATGTCCATCCCAGAACTGGCTTTCGACCATGGAAAGCCAAGCCCAGGGGTCCTTTGAGTTGACTTCGGTTTCCAAACATCTATCTTAATCAACACTGAAGTTTCTAAACGAGCTGGGAGGATGCATCCCAGCTCTCCGAATTAGCTGAGTCAGCGGCAATTAAAGCATCAAGGAGGCATCTGCTTCCACCTGGGGATTTAGGGCAAAGAACGATCAACTGAGCACAGCAAGTAAAGTCTGTTGGTGATGAGCTGCTTAGGGGAAGGTGCTGGAAAAATACTCCAAATTCTCAAAATCATCATTTCAAACAGCTATACCACAAGTAAGACACTTAATTTCTTCTCCATTATTGACATAATTAATGGTTACATGCATGCAACAAGCACAGGAAAATAAAAAGCATGCAAAAATGTAGAAATTAGTGAAACATAGCCCATTTTGCTTTCTTTTTTAATCCTTGATCCCCTCTGCACCTCCCCTCCCCCACCCAGGAACATTCAAAGTACAAAGGAGCCTCATTTTAAACGGACTGGTTCTTGCCTAGATTCACATAGGATGAGCCCTTCAGTGCACCACAAGCTCTACAATGTTCTCAGTAGGGATTTGTGTTGGCTGGATTCTCTAGCAGCGTACTAACGTGGGAGCTCATTTTACCTTTCTAGTTAGACCCAAATGGAACCAAACCAAACCAAAACCCAAACTTTCTCTTGGAGGGTCTCTTTTCTTAGGATGGGACATGGTAGGTTGACATCCGCTTAGCTACCCCCCACTCACGGATGGAAGTCATGGGGTGTGGTCATAGCAGTGACTTTCATGAGTGGGTGGGGGTGACAGAAGCTGGAAGCTAGAGTGGGATCAGCTGATTCCAATGGTGAAGGTGACCCCAGTTGGAGCCCTTTCTGCTTCCCAGCTCCAACAGTCCTAAGCCCAGACACCTTGCTACCACAAAGGCGGCCTCTGGAACGAGAGCGCCTCGGTGTAGGCAATGAACGTGCACCAGAACGCACATTCTCGAAGGAAACAGGAAAGGAAATGTAACACAGCAAAGTAGGCTGGCATGGGGCTTGGGCTTCATGAGGAATGAGGAAGAAGGATGAGGTGACAGGCGCGATGTCCATCTCTGAGGGAGCTTGAAGGTCAGCGTTGAAGATCTCTGAGGGAGCTTGGAGGTTCAGAGAAAAGGTCTTTTGGGGTTTAGCCCTGGGGGCAGCTTCCTTTATTTTGTAAGCAAGCGGGAGGGAGGGAGGAGGTCCAAGGCAAACCTTTCATCTGTGGTCTGGTGGCTTGAGATTCTCATACCATGCTGAAAGGTATTTTGAATTCAGCTGTTTTTATTTAATTTCTGAGGAAAACTCTGGGAAGAAAGGGGGAGAGAAAAGAAAGCCTGGGGATTAGGAGGAGGAGGTGAAAGGGAATAAGAAAGGCCAGAAAATGAAGAGAAAAAGAAGGAGTTCAAGGAAGGAGGAGGGAGGGAGGGGGTTGTGACTGCTTGCAGTTGGCAGGGTGGGTGCCAACCTTTCTCTTGGCTGCCGAACCTAGTCTTATCTGCTTCTCCATACTCTGCAGCCATAAGCCCCGAAGAGGGGTACTTCTTGTGGAAGACACTTCCAAGAGGTCCTCACATCGTTTGCTAAAAAGCCCAGAAGACAGAGAAAGAAGTTCTGAAACATAGAAGATGGTGCTTCTACCAATAAAACTCTTCAGTGGTCTCAGGGTCACTGTTTGAACTTAGAACCTTCTAAAGCTCTGTGAAGATGGGCAATAATTGCCATTTAACAATTACATAAAAATGATAATAAAGCAGGAAAGCATTCAGAAGGCCAGACAAATAAACCTGTGGAAACAACCTGAAGTAACCTAATCTAAGGAATGCCCCAAAGTCTGGAATCACGGCAGAGAAAATATTTGACAGGAAACCGCTGATCGCCTACTGTGTGCGGTCACAGGAGTATTTTCAGGGCTTAGATGTAGACCAGAGGGAAATGATGAGAAAAGGCACCCCAAAGCATGGAAGGGTCCTGCCACTCATGGGCTGGCTTTCCCAAATCCTCTAATAGAAGGCAGGCTGGGACCATAGGATAGGAGATGATTCTAGACTTGGAATTTCGTAGGTTCTCAAACATTTTCACAGGTCAGCGAGGGCTTTCTAGATAGCATGTTCCGACTTTTCCCACTGCAGCAACACTTGAGATTTTCTAAGCTGCTGAAAGGTGGGAGGGGTTGGCTCTCTTTGTTTTCTCTTGGGGTTTAGCCCTGTGGGCAGCCAGGCAATGCTGGGAGGCTGGCTGAGACCTCTCCTTTCTACTCACTTCTTCAACTTCTTTAATTCAACATTTGTCCCAGTTAGCATGACCTGATTACCATTCTGCATTCCTCCGCAGCCTAAAAGGATTTTTCTCTTAAAGATGAGTTTCTAGAAAAGCAGCAGTTGAAATGCCACCTTCAGAATTCAGCACTCAGGTGTGCTCCTCGAGGGTGGTGGGGCAGAGCCTGACAAAGTAAGGCAGCTCCTTTCAGCCCAATGGACACCCCAGGGATCGCCACAGGGTGCCTCCTGAGAAGAGTTGTGAGGATGGCTGAGCAGACAAGAGTAGGCATGCGGTCCCCGGGGCAGAAGCCAGCACAGAACCTGTGATTCTCAAAGTGACCCTCTCTGTGCCTTGGGGTAGGAAGGAAAGGCACCTTCAGGACCTATGCAGCCTGATGCCACAAACCGGTGAGAACACCAAGTAGGCTGTATGTGTGTTGGGGACAGCACAGTATTGTGGTTAAATTTTGGACGTGACTTAAAGGCAGGTAGATCTGGGTTGAAGCCCTATCTCTTTCAATGACCACTGGGCGAGTTTTGGTTAAGTTCTTGAATATCCCTGAGCTTCAGTTTTGCCATCTGTTTAACAGGGATTCCAATGGCATTGGCTCATGAGTTAGACGCAAGGCTTAAGTGAGAAAATGTGTGCAAGGGGCTTATCACAACACCTGGCATTGGAAGAAGTCTGTAAATAAGAGGAAAAAGAAAAACAAACTAATGAAAACCACAGAGGCAAGGGTGACATGGCCCCGAGTTGCCTTAGGAGAATTGTTGGCATCTTCTCTTCTCTCAATGCAAACATGCAAGCCTGGAGAATTAGCTACACCCCGACCCAGTGGTTTAAGCCTAGTGGGACCGGTGTTCGGGTTTTAGTGAGTCCTCCGAAGTCAGTTCCAAAACCGATTAGGAAAAGGATCACTTTGCATCTTCCTAAAATTGAGAGGTCAAGGTGATAGAGCTGCCATTCTGTGTTTTAAACATTGATACCTTTGTGATCTGAAAATGGAGAGATGGTGATCAGCTTTTCCCCATCACCTGGGAGGACAGAGTTCAGGCAAGGAATTACTGCTGCACCATGATCTATGGGCTCCAAAGAACTTCCTGATGTACCAGGGGTTTTAACTCCTCTGTATCTCAGGCTCAGAATTTTAAAACGGGGCTCATACACCCTTCTCGATCTTTTTTTTTTTTTATTCTTACGTTAATCCCCATACATTACATCATTAGTTTTAGATGAAGTGTTCCATGATTCATTGTTTGTGCATAACACCCAGTGCTCCATGCAGAATGTGCCCTCCTCAATACCCACCACCAGGCTAACCCATCCTCCCACCCCTCCCCTCTAGAACCCTCAGTTTGTTTTTCAGAGTCCATCGTCTCTCATGGTTCATCTACCCCTCCTATTTCCCCCGCTTCATTCTTCCCCTCCCGCTACCTTCTTCTTCTTTTTTTTTTTTCTTAACATATATTGCATTATTTGTTTCAGAGGTACAGATCTGAGAGTCAACAGTCTTGCACAATTCACAGCGCTTACCAGAGCACATACCCTCCCCAGTGTCTATCACCCAGTCACCCCATCCCTCCCACCCCACCCCCCACTCCAAGAACCCTGTTTGTTTCCTGCAATTAAGAATTCCTCATATCAGTGAGATCATATGATACATGTCTTTCTCTGTTTGACTTATTTCACTCAACATAATACCCTCCAGTTCCATCCACGTCGTTGCAAATGGCAAGATCTCATTCCTTTTGATGGCTGCATAATATTCCATTGTATATATATACCACTTCTTCTTTATCCAGTCATCTGTCGATGGACATCTTGGCTCTTTCCACAGTTTGGCTATTGTGGACATTGCTGCTATAAACATCGGGGTGCACGTACCCCTTCGGATCCCTACTTTTGTATCTTTGGGGTAAATACCCAGTAGTGCAATTGCTGGATCATATGGTAGCTCTATTTTCAACTTTTTGAGGAACCTCCATACAGTTTTCCAGAGTGGCTGCACCAGCTTGCATTCCCACCAACAGTGTAGGAGGGTTCCCCTTTCTCCACATCCCCGCCAACATCTGTCGTTTCCTGACTTGTTAATTTTAGCCATTCTGACTGGTCATACACCCTTCTCATACAGCTGTTGGAAGGCTCAATGGGTTAACAGACATCAGGTTAATAATACACATGGCCTCTGACCTACATTAAGTGCTCAGGACGTCCTTCCCATGAAGTGTTGAAAGTACAAAGATTAATATTCACAACAGGATTACTGTTTAGCCACCTCAGGTGGGGGAGACCTTGGCAGGAAAGGGCCTGCTTCCATA